GAAGTCACATGAATGGTCACGCGTCGATTTTAACACAAGAATCACCATCGAGTCAATTTGATACAAGTACATATGTCGGACTGCTTTTTCGAATTACTCGATGATTAATAAATTGATTTGCTCCTTCCCTCTCTGATTCCAAAATATAGCAGTTTGTTAAAGAGGTATTCGTTACTTTTGGTACTCCCAGTGATACAAGATATGCCCCATGATGGACACTGGTGATTGATGATTCAAATTTAGAATAACCCTTTAAAATTAATTGGTCGTTATGACTACGAGTAATTTTTGTTTAAAGATCGCACGGGGAGAAGATTATAAATTGAAAACGTACAATGTTCCAAGCAAAGCAATTAGTTTTTTGTCTGGTACTATCGGTACCCTTTGTAGATTGAACTAGAGACTTACCTAATTATTTATGTCTTAAAATATGTTCTTAAAATATGAACAAATCCATCTGCAGTGGCCTTCAGGGATTCCTTATGGATCCAAGGAAAAACAAATCCAAAAGAATATCTGAAAACTGACGCTCCCATACTGTCGTAAAATACTCCCTTCTATATTTGAAAGCAAAGATCCAGCCAGCATAGCAACTAAAAATCATCAGCCTATTGGTCTCTCCGCTTAACCTTCGCAACATGATTGCGCCTCGAACAAAAGTAAACGAGGAAATCCGGGTAAATGTTTCGCGATCGATGGAAGAAGACGTCTCTCTCTCCCGATGCCCGCAGACTTACACGCAACGCTCGCACACACGTGCCTTTTCTCCCGTCTTTATCTATCGGTGTCAGTTGCTGGCCAACGATGAATATCTGCTCGCGAATCATAGTTACCAACTCTAATGGCGCGCATAATTTATGCTCGATAGAGCGGTTAACTAAACTTCGTATGCATCTGCACTCGTTCACGAGGCGTACACACGTCGCTGACGTGAGCTAGAGTTTCGTTTCTGGCTGGAAAAAAAAATGGCTGGAGAGAGCCTATACGTATGTATAACCCACGGCCACGACGTTATTATACCGGGACCCAACAAAGGGGCGAGTGGGGGTGGGGGTGGGGGGCGGCGGCAACATTAATATTAAAGCGATGCAAAAGTAAATCGGCCGTTTCGCGTGCGCCATTATCCAGCTGGGGAACATAGAACGCCGTGATTCCGCACAGGTTCGGAGAAATAATTTTACAGTCGAATCTTAACTAGCGTGTTCGACGATTTAATATAAATATACGACAGAGGGGATCACGATCGTCGATTCACCATAGGCGAATCGTAAATCCGATGGGATCGTGTCTCGATACTGGGAGGGTCTTCGAGTAGCGATTCGACTTATTCAATGACGTAGGTCGTATTTTATAATGCGTAGACGGGGTGCTAGGTACGTAGAAACAAACGAGTTATTTTTATTATAGATTATTTTTGTTATTAATGTATATTTATTTTTTTAGCAGAAATTTAATGCCGAAGTGGTTTCACGAGAAGAGATCGTACAATTAAAACATATTCGTATGTTGTGAAAGTGGGACTCAGTTCTGTTTGAATGGATTTAAAAATTACCAGATTTAGTTGAGGGACAAATTTTAAACGATTTGTAGTTCGTATTATTTAAATTATATCAGCAATGTAGAGTATATGTTGTGTCGCTTTAATACTAAAGTATATTGGAATCGCAAATGACGGTAATTTTTTTATGAAAGCAACCATACCCTCGTGTGTTCATCTCTCTCAAAAAGGTTAAAATTCTAAAGTAACATCTAGTACCTGATATTCCAAAGCAATTAAAAGTGATTGAAATATTCTAAAGTAGTATACGAAGAACATCGAGAAAAACGAGTAAACCGTTCGTATCACCTGTGTACAAGTCGTTTAAGGACTTCTTTCCGTCGTGGTTTTTTTTTTTTTTTTTTTTTTTTTTTTTTTTTTTTTTTTTTTCTTTGCTTCGAGTGAAATTGCCACCGAAAAGCGATTTCACGACGCGCAACAGATGGTTACGCTCGTCGGGGCTTCGCGTCCGAATTTCAGCACAGATTCGAAACTGGAATTTCAAGGAGGTTTCCCTTCTTGAGTTACCGGATTACAGGGGACCCTGCTCACCAGTTTACACGCTACCGTGAGACTTTTACATCGTAAAATCCAAATTATAATACTTTCCTGGCCGCGAATTTGCACAGTCACGTCGGGCCCTATGCGTTTACGTGCACGCGTCCCTGAAACGTCTCGCCCTCCTCCACTTTTTCTGCCTGCGTTTCAATTATTATTATTAACATCAACGGTCTTCGAATATCTCGATACAGAAAAAATATATGGCGTAGCAGACAGATCATAGCAATTAGGAAATTTAAATTTGATTCGCAGTACTTGTCGTAGTAGTTGAATTTATTTAATCAGGCATTTTATAGAGGTATTTTATATACTTTAGTATGTGTATATACTAATATGAAATTCTAGTTATTTCATGTATTCAATGGTTATACTGTATCTATCTTGTAATATTCTTTCATTTTACGGTGACAGCAGAATCTGAACATTTTTAATATTATTATTTGATCAAATGTTTCAAAAATTAAAATATAATGTCTGTCCCAATATAAAGTGATAAAAAGCACTTATGAAATGGTAGGTGTAGCGAACGATAAGAGTATTTGATACTAAGGGCAATTATTACCAACTAGTAATATTGTTGTACACCGTTTCATAAAATATATTCTGCGCACATCTTGCATATAGCTTTCTTATAACTTGCATAAAATCTCCAATCTACCGAGAAGTCACGAAAAGCGCTATGGTTATCAGGATCCGTTAGACGTAGATTTTAAATATTTACTTTACCTGGCCGAAAAAGGCCCATAAAAAGCCGAGCGGTCGAAAGCAGGAGGTTTCCAGTCGGCTTGCAAATAATCCCCAACGTCATGCTACGTCGATCTTCCCGATCTTCTAGTCGCTCGCTTCTTTCCTATGAAGCTGTTTTTCCGACGCTTCAATGTACCACGGTGATTTTCGTTTTAATTAAAGGGTATCGCGTTCTTGCACCTTCGTCACGAATTTTTCTTGAATATTTCTTCCGTTTAACGGTCACGATTTTGTTCCGCGGTGCACGGTGTTCAAGTCGATCATCGAACTTTTACCGATCCATTTGCTTACTGTTTCTCTCGAGTGACTCCAGCCTGGTTCCCACCAGGGACGGGCAAATTCTTGTCTAGGCAAAAGTCACGAGTAAACGATCTGAAAACGTCTTTCAGTGGCTCACTTTGTTCGTTTTTTAACAGAATTTTGAAGAGAATTAAGTAGAATAAAATTGATTATATAAAATTATACCAATAGAACTACTTTCTCTTTGGGACTGATTTAATTAAGAGTCGAAATTGAATTATGAATCGATATTATCATTTTATTATTAATATCGTTAGTATGACGGTTTTCGTACATTCTTAATTATTACTTCATAAAATTATCAGAGTCCAGCTATAATTCAATTTTTGATCAGTCATCGATGCTAATAATTTTAAAGACCGTCATCTTTTTAATAGAAAAAATTGTTATGTAATATACTTTCGCAATTATACCCAACTGCGTTATTATAGCGTACTAAATTTGCTTGACGTGCATCTAACGTGTATGAATTCCCCATTAAAGTGGCGACTGCTGTTCTCTTACAACGACTACTAAATCGTCGAGCAATATTTAAACATCGGAACAGTGCATTGATAGTGGGTATCAACTTTTATTTTGCATAAATTGTCGGTTACATTGAGCTATCGTTTTCACGGTTATCGAGGTTCATCTCTTCATCTCGATGCTCCTCTTGTTGCTCCCTCCTCCTATCCAGCCATAAACTCGCCGAACAATAAAACCGCTCGTGTATCTGTAGTTTCGCTTTAATATAACAATTTCTCTTTTTTTCCTTCCCGAGGAACGTACAAGACTTACACGGCAATGTAGCGGAGTAATGGCTTCTCTTTATAACCGTAACGATTCTCGATGTAATCAGGGTAGTAAGACGTATTGTACGCTCTGTGTGGTTTTACCACCGCGATTTTCTGTTTGTCTTTCGATGTTTCCAGCCTGATAAAAGGCTTGCGACTAAACAATGTTATGCAATCGAATCGTAAAACGATACATGCTGACGTCGTAAAGTACTCTCGACGAGCTGTTCGCCCTGTATTTCGCTGAATTTCCGACCGATGATAGGAGAGCAAAAAATGTGGCCGTAATAAGTACGATGATTGGGTATTTAATTTAATGTTCGGAAATGAATGTTCTTTTTAAGAATCACGAGCAGAAATGGTGTATCGTTTAATTATTGTAATTCGAACTTAATGTAATTACAGTTTAAAATTTAATCATCAGCTAGAATTCATTTTCAATTGATCATCGTTCAAGCCATCGGCACCGGGGTGTGTTGTCTTTTTCATATAAATTAATTAAGTATGTCTTTTTAAGATTACTCGATTATTAGCGATTCTTTCTCCATCATTTTGAATTAATTAAATCGATGAATTTAATCTGTCCTTATCCTCACTGTTCTTCTTTCGTTACGCTTCCAAAATTTGTATAGCATTAAGTGTCTAATATGGATCTTATCCATACTTTATTATTCCATCCTATAAGGTTCACCTAGTTTTTTTTTTCTCAAAATTTTTACAATAAGCACATTAAATATCAATATACCTAACTAATGTATACATACGAGGTGCTATCATAGACCAGCCTAGTTTTTTTCAAAATTGAATAATGAACACATTAAATATCAATATGTCTAACTAGTGTATATACAGTACTATCGTAGAGGTACTATCGTAGACTAGAATTATAATACGTAAAATTATTGTCAGTGGATGTCATTGTTCTCAAAATATGAAATAAAAGAACAACACTTCTTATATGTACCCCTAATGGCATTACAGCTTTTGCTTACCGCTATCCACTTATATTTTTTTAACTTCGCGCGATTTAAACCTACCAGCATGAATTTTCTAATCTAAGCGACGGGTTTCGTCTGTTTCAGGATTCCGAGGCGAGCAGTGCGAGGAGAACATCGACGACTGTCCAGGAAATCTCTGCCAGAATGGCGCGACCTGCATGGACAGAGTGAACGAATACTCCTGCCTGTGTCCGCCGTCGTACACGGGCACGCAATGCGAGCTGGACGTGGACGAGTGCTCGGTGAGACCGTCGTTGTGCCACAACGGTGCCACATGCACAAATTCCCCAGGCAGCTACTCCTGCATATGCGTGAACGGCTGGACCGGGCCGGACTGCAGCGTCAACATCGACGATTGCGCAGGTGCCGCTTGCTTCAATGGTGCGACCTGCATCGACCGTGTTGGCAGCTTCTATTGTCAGTGCACCTACGGAAAGACCGGTAAGCCCATCGAAATTAACTGTTCGACTTAAGGGGTTCACCAACTTTACGCGTGTACTACTAATGACCTTCTAAAATCGTTCGGTTATTAAAATTGCAAATTTACTGTATGTAGTGCTGCAATTTTTGGTACAATTATCGTAACAAAGAATTAACTTGATCGACAAATTTGTTTGCTCTTTCTCCCTTTAATTACGAAGACATAGTTGTATTTATAATAGGTAAACGTCGATCTCGGTAGTTCTAGTGTTAACCCTTTGCACTCGAGAGGTGACTCTCAGTCACCGCTAGGTTTTCTTTAAGTGTAATTTCTTTGGAACTCGAAATGCCAATAAAACGATTGTCGTCGAGGCAAAGGTGACCCGATTTTCAAATCTCAAATAAGAGAATGCCAAGAAAGCATCTCGAGTTGCTGGTAGATAAAAAAAACGGGCCTCGAGTGCAAAGGGTTAAAATGATTTGAACAACGAGCTATGGATAATTTCAAGTCACAAAGTTGACAGACCCAAATAAAGTGCATTCTAAATTCGCTCCAATCTTCCCTAACTGCACATTTCTAATATATTACTCTGTATACAATAAAAACGATCCCCTGATATAAATACAGATACGTCACCGTAAGCTAAATAATTATATCCATTCGCGCCATTATGAACGAGCTTCGTTGAATAAGCTCGAATGAGCTTCGAACGACGAGGTGAACGCGTTTCTGCGAATCGCGGCGATTAGCTCGCCAGTCGCCTATGGCCGATAACGAGGCCGTGGCTCGAATCGCGTCGGCATTTATGCATCTCGACTGCATCGGCAGGCAGGGCATCTGCACGTGCAACAATATGATGCAGCCTCCGTGCGGACGCAGAAGGGTCCCTCGGAATCCCGGGATTCCGGAGGCCTAGCCTTACCGAGAGAGACGACCTTGAGGACTGAAAACGAGTTTCTGTCCACGCTTTCCTACACGAGACCGAGGAAGACGGTTTTCAGATCGATCGTTCCGACAGCGATCGCCAAATACAGGCATCCTTCTTCTGTCTCGATATTATTGCGATTCCTGCGATTGCTCGCTGGGGGACGACTTTTTCTGGGGACGTAAAACACTCGGGGAAATGTTAAATCAGGGGTTCCCAATCGTGGGTCATGGCCATGGATCGCCATCCCTGGATCGCGAGAAATGAGTAGGATGGAGTTTGAAAGTCGAGGACAGGGGAACGAGAAAAGATGTGTTTATGCACGTAAAGGTATTTTTTATTTTTTTTTTTTAAAGGTCTTAAGACTCTATAGGATCCATTTCGCTTTACGATATCGACAATACAGTGTCGATACAAATAACGTACAATTAAGAGATTATATTTTTAAATGGATAGAACACAGTCGTTCCTGATGCCCACGACCTTCAGTCTTCGATTCGAATGATTCAATTGCGCGCACTTACTGAAGATTAATTAATTTTCCGAATATCATAGATTTAGAATGCTATTTATCTTTCACGGTGAAAATTCTAAGCCCACGAATTTATTGGAATGTTCCCGTGGGACGTCGACGAGGCTTGGCGTTAGGTCAATTTACGATATCGTTGTTTCGGAACAGTTTTAACGACGCTCAAGAGGTTAACGGATTTACAATATGTATGTACGCATAATGGCGACTCGTGGTCTGCGTTAAAGCCCGGAGGCTCGTTTTCTTGCGCGTGTGGACGCACTTACAGTTAGCCGCGGGTGTAATCGTGTATCTACGTGGCGATTTACTCTGGTTTATATAGGATCATCCTCCAGACACACGTGTCCCGTTATCGAGATACGTACGCGAACCTACCAGTGTCATTAACCGACCGAGGATACACTTTTTGTACCTTGGAATCATGCATGAGAAATATCGAGGTTGCAGCTTCAGGCTCGTATCAATCGTAAACGGTCAATTTAAATTTCAAATGCAATTTCGTATTTTTAAACGGGTTGGTGATTCCAATAAAAGATAAATAAAAATGGTATCCAATTTTTTGGGGTATATCGATGAAAGTTTTCTGTGGTTTAATCTTGTTTTAGGTATTCATAAATTAATAGTAACTAAAATGGTGGTTAAAGATATATTATATATATATTGTGGTGTCCAGAAAGTTCGTGGCAATTTTTAAGAAAAATTCAAAGGCACATTCGAATTTTGATATACAATATTTATTGAATTGTATAAATACCATTTTGTTCCACGACCTTTCCACCTTTTAAGGGCTAATATAGAAATAGAAAAATATAGACAATGGTAAATATTAAAAATTAACATTGTAAGAAATTAAAGACAAGTTCTTTAATTTGAGTTTTCTTATGGAAAGATTCCAAGAAATTTGTAGGCTAAAAATCTATCGGTATTCAGAAATTCCATTATAATGTGAATGTGTGCAATTGTAAAAATAATAAAGTAAGACATTAACACATAAGTAGAATCGCGGAGTTAATGTACTAAAGCTGGCAAAAAGTTACTTACAACTCAAAGAATTAACGAATAGAAAGTAACCCGAATGAACACACCTGAACTTAACGAAAATTCCTTACATACTTATGTGGTACGTAGCTCTATCAGTACTTACATATGTTCCATCTAATTGTTTCATACAAGAGTCTGTACTGAAAGCGTTCGATACAGATGCTGTATTTAATTCCAAACACACAGTGCACGATTCGAACGATGAAATAAAATGGTTACGATAGAGGGATGAGCTCGACGCGCATCATCCGTGCAATTCCAATCCGAATTCCTCGAATTTTCTCACGTGAAAATTCTGTACGAATCATTTCATACAGCAGTCCGAACTAAACAAGTCCGATACAGATAGTTCGTGCTGTATAATGTCGTATCGAATTCCAAACACAAGCGCAGCGTACGATTCGAACGGTGAAATAAAATGGTTGCGATAGAGGGACGAGCTCTCGAGCGCGCATCATCCGTGCAATTCCAATCGGAATTCCTCGAATTTCCTCGTGTATTTCGCTGTAAGGAGCAATTAGACCGACTTATCGTATACGCCAGCGGTTCCAGCAATTTACTGAATGCGAACGCGCCATGATTCCGCGGATCGACGAACGCGAAACGCTGGGATTTGTCACCGTTCTCCTCCGCGTGTATCTCGACTCTTCTGCGATTCTCGAGTGCAACATTTCTGGCTAGGTTACGCGAACCGAGCGGATACAGGCCTTAATGATGTCCATCTTTGGCGGTAGCCGCCGTGTTTGGTGTTCGACGATCGACACTTTTGTCCTAGAAATGCACGCAATCCGCGCCACGAACGGAGGCCCCCTTCAAAATGGCGTCGCAAGCGGTTGCGTGGATTTTTCGTTACGCACGTGGAGGATAAATCGTTCGTTTGTTCGTTTTCCAGGATTGCTGTGCCATCTCGATGACGCTTGCACTTCGAACCCCTGTCACGAAGGCGCGATCTGCGACACCAGCCCCATCAATGGATCCTTCACTTGCTCCTGCGCGACTGGTTACAAGGGGGTGGACTGCTCGGAGGACATCGACGAGTGCGAGCAGGGTGAGTACTAAAGAATCTTTGAATCTTGTCTACTCCTTTCTTGATGTCTATAGATTGACTGAAATTTACGTTGAAAAATGAGCTTATCGACAGGAATTCTTTGCAGTAATTAACTCTTTACACTCAAGAGGTGACTCTCAGTCACCATTAGATTTCGCGCATCGAATCTACAATACCTAATGTTTAGACTGCGGATCTTTATGTAAAATTTATTTTATTCTGCAAATATTATAACATCAACTTTACTTTCGATCTTTTTTATATTCTTGCATATTGTTTGCATTTTATAGTTTCTTGCACATTCAAAATTTCTTATAAATTTGGGAGACATCATTGCCATACAAGCATGTTTTGTTACTTGAGTTATTTATGTTTGTTTTCCATTAAATAATATCAATACAAAATTCTTAGCATTAATCAAAGTTTATTCAAACAGGAAATTGTGCTCTTAAAATATTCGTTTTAAACTAGAAATATATTAGTGGTGCTGCTTGCAGGCTCAACAATTACATTATCAAAATTTAACTTCACAATACAATTTCACTCTGATTTTAAATGGAGAAACTGCATGCTTGTAGCTTGAAAAAATCTCAGATTAATTGCGAAATATAACAGTGGTATGCTTTCAGGATTAATAATTCCATTACCTAGCTTCATAAAAATTCAATTTCAGTCTGCGTTTATATGAAAAAATATCACGTTTCGGATATATTTTGCAAAAATTTCTCTTAAATTGAAATAACCGATCCATCGACTTTCTAGCTTATTCTTAACGACCATTAATTCGGTATTATTATTCAGATATTATTCAGATCATTATATATTCATTATTATAGTCATCATTATACATACATATATTCAGATCAGCATAAACGACACAAGAAGAATCGTTTACGTCAAGCCTTACGAATGCGTAATCTCAAACCGTTTCGAAAGTAATCTCGCTCTCAAACGAATGCAATGCGCGCCACCACCTCCCGAAGCTTCATCGAGCATAGTTATTAATGATTCCCCGGATCTAAGAAAAACGCTGGATGATGATTTCGCGCATGAGCGAGCCCAGAAGTGTATCTCGGTGAACGTATCTGATAGATTTTATCGCAGCGCGGGTTTCTACGTGAAAATACTTGAGTGCTATAATAAATGATCGTCTTACAGTGTTTCATGCTCGATAGGGAATTTGAGTAATTCGAGCCACACATATGCAGCATGTGCATTAGGGTTATCTTTTTGTAACCGTCGAATCTTTTGCTCGCCACTCCCAATAAGTCTTTCAGCCAAACAAGCATTTTGATATAATTTAAAATCGATCGCTGAAAGGATTACTTTTAAGGACAACTTTCAATTCACAAAATTGATCAAATGTTCGATATAATAGTTCAGTCAATATTAAAGTCAACTCTCTTATAACACGGTACATTCGTCCAGTATTATGCGAAAGCCGCGTTGTAAAGGTATCGCGTTGAGGGAGGCCGTCGTAATTTTTGCTTCGCGTTATAAGAATCTCAGAGTTAGTAAAGAATAGAATAATTTGTTCGTTGTTACAAGAAACTCAGAATTAGTACAAGCTAGAATAATTCGTTCAGCATTGTACGAAAGCTGTATTACAGGAAGCCTGTCGTTATTTTTGCTCCGCGTAATATTGAAATCGCGTTCGGAATTAATGCGTCATCGGAGGATTTAATTGCTTACTACGTGTGCTAGCTTTACTCCGTACGCCGGTACCAAAAAAAAAAAAAAAAAAAAAAAAAAATGTAAACATAGTATTGAAGAGACTTCGGTCGAGCGTGGCCTGTTCCAAGAAATCTCTAATCCGTGTTGTCATGCGCTCAATTTCGCGAGTCACCGTACGAAAACAAATCGGAGCACGGCTTCCCAAAATTGTTAGAACCTTAAATTATCGATTTGCAAGTAAAATTGCGTAACGGTTTTCTATTCGGAAGTTCATCGAGATTTCATGAATCGCTTTCTACCAATGAAGGTTGAGTAACCTTTATGAGGCCATCTTTGGTCCGCATTATTTTACCTCCTTTGTCGGTGATGTTTCGTCATCAAGATCGGGGGATTCTAAATTAGACACCGATGAGATCAAACGATGGCCTCGTCAGTCGCGTAGGGTCAATGCGTCAGTCAATGATTTTTATCTAGTCGTGCGCGATTTTATGTACTTAATTTTAACGACCAGTAGCGGTGGAGAACTATTAGTAATCCGAACCATCGATAGTTATCGATAATTATCGATTTTTCTTTTTTACAAAAGAAGTTTTTAAAAAATAAAAATAGCTAGATCAAATTCTACTTCACATATTTTTATCCTTTAGTCTCGATCGTCTTTCTGAAATAATTTACCTAGTGGCGTTGAATAGCTTTTTAGTAATAAAAGAAACGGGAACTTTGGCCTGCAGAAAATGATTAATGTTGTAGAGTTCTGACGTATTCGAACGAAATTTTTAGATTTTCTAAACCTAATTACGGGGCCAGGGATATATTATCGATGCCGGAGATCGAGATCAGTCGATAATTATCGGATTAATGTCCACGATCGTGCGAGAAAGCCCCCACCGTTCGAACAAATTGAAATCCCACACGTGGTAGCCTGCCGACCGAGAATCGATCGATTACGATCGATTAATTCGGTCTTGAATGCGCTTCATTCATTCTGCGGACTTGTCGACGTTGTTGTCCTGTTCTCATCGCGATTGCCGCTGATGGCGATTGATCTATCATGCGCGGGAAATTCTTGATCGTTGCGGCAATTTTCTCTGAACACATTTGGCTATAGAATACCAATTGCGCTACGTTCGATTGTTCTCATAGGAAACGAATTGATATGTTTCAGGTGTATTAGGTGTATTATATACAAGCCAGTATTTACTGCTTTCTTATTGTATCTTAATACAAAGTTGTAGTGTTTAGTAGTATATAAATAATCTGTAGTAATATATGATAATTAATACATGTCTTGGCTGTTATTTACAATTTGTTCGTATTTTTTTATTTTTTTTTTCGGTCGCCGACTGGTAAATTAATTTTTAAGAAAAATAACTTGATAATTAAAGAGTTAATGACTAAGTTACAAGTATCACATAAAAATATTAAAATTACATATACTACTGCACTGCGAAAAATCATTTGAAAAGATCGTTGTTTATTTTAATAAATGTGCATGTATATACATCACACATTTCCTAAAACATATCATATACAGTATAACAAAATTATCTGCTTCAAAACATATGATGAACACAGTATGTACATCATACAACCAGATTCGTAAGAATTAATAAATTCAAGACATATTATTATTATTATTATTATTATTATTATTATTATTATTATTATTATTATTATTACTACTACTACTATTGATATTTATATACATGCAAATTCATATTTGCTAATATTAGGAAAAGGACGTTCGAAGGTTGCTTCAGACCAAAACGAATATTTTTCCATTGAATATGTAAGATGCGGCCTCGTGTAGGATTTTCAATAATGGGACAGGAAGTGGGGGGTAGGGGGAGCAGTTCTTTTGAAACATTTCACATCGCCCGTTCGCGATCTCGTTCACGGAGCATTCCGCGCGAACACCTGTAGGGTGCAGTGCACTTTAATAAGTATCCTTTCGCCTTTTTCTTATTTCCGTTTCGGATCTCCAGGGGAACTTGTCATTCGTAGCCCCTTCTCCTTTCTCCCTTCTCCTTCTTTGAGAATGGGCTACCCCGATGGGCAGCTCGCGATTGGAGCGAGTCCTACCGCCAGAACACCGACGATTATTAATAATTCCACGAAGGTAATTGATGGTTCGACGGGAATTTATATTTCGAGCTGTGCGTTACACGATACTATCGATCGATCGACGGTTGTCTCGAAAAGTATCTCGTCGGGCGTCTTTGAATTCGTTCGACGAAATCGTTCCATTTTTCTTGCCGAAATCGTATTTCCGAATAGGGCGCAAATAATAGAGGTCTCTTTTCTTTCGTCGACGTACACTGCCAGTTGTAATAATTAGGACGCTCAGGATTGATCGCGGAAACGTCTTTTTATTGAGAAACCATAACTGTATTTACTTTATTTAATAATGTGTATCATAAGTAGAATTCAGAAGTTTATGCATTCATAGCCATTGGAAATATGTCAAATTTCATGAGGATATTCTCGAATTCAAGAATATATAAAATATCAAGAATTTTTATTTAAATTTCATTTCTTTATAAAGTATATATATGAAGTATATATAATAATATTCATAGTAATATAAAACATATATATATATAGAGTTTGCATGGACATCCGCATGAACATTTGCATGAAAATTCAGAAAATAAAGGCAATGAAGAACGATATCGATAAATATCTCATTTTATACAAACTTAGTAATTGTCCCAATACTTACAGTCACCAGTGCACTTGATCTTTTCAATTTGTAAAACGTAGTCACAATTAGTAAATTGAAAGATAGGTCGCAACTGTGGAGTAAGAAGTCATCCATCGATGTCACTCGTAGCTATGCGATTTAATGTTCCTCGAGTATATTGCCTCTTCAATCTTCTTATCTCATATCGTGATCCTTGTGGATTATGCAGTTGCTATAATACGGTGCGTCCAATATGCATGATACTCGGATGTTCTCGATCGAAATCTTCGCGTTAAGCTTGTGTTGGTTGACTTTACGCGGCAGAGTTGCCTCCCCATTGGTCCAGACCGGTTGTAAAATGATTCTATGTAGGAGTAATTTGTTTTCAATTGGAGGCTTTGATCGATGACTCAAGGTAGCCAGAGCATTTCTCTGGACTTCATTTTCATCCGTTGTCTCGTTTGCCGAAGGTGATGTTGCCTTTTATCGATGTTTAAAGCCACGGTATTCCATCTTATCGGATCTGGGATCAAATTCGCTCGAAGGGAGTGGTGGGTAAATAGTTTTCTTCATCCGTGAAATCGATGTGTATCGACAGTTTCAATGTACATTTTAAATTACGAATATCTAGTAACTTGATATA